TTTGGATCTGGCTGAGCTGCACAGTTCCATGTTCCCGTACCTGAAAGCAGAGTCCCGATCCCTCAGCAGCTGTTTGACCTCACTGTTCATCCACTGTTTTTTATTTTAATCATGTCTGACCTTCTTCTCCACTGTGACATTATCCATGCTCGTTTTAATATAAAACACAACAGTGGACATATAGTCCGTGAGGTCCTCCTGTGCAAAGATGCCCCAGTTGGTGGTGTGGAAGCAGTCCCGGAGCTGTGGGATGGCATCTTCAGACCAAATCCGAACGGGTCTCACCTCAGGCAAAGTTCTTTGTATAAGAGGTCTGTAATCTGGGGTGAGAAACAGGGACAGATGGTCCAATTGTCCGAGGTGAGGGAGGGGGGAGACTTTATATGCATCCTTGTTGTTGCTGTAGACTTTGTCCAGCACGTTATGACCTCTCGTTGCACATGTAACATGCTGGTAAAATTTAGGGAGCACAGATCTTAAGTCAACGTGGTTAAAGTCTCCAGTCACAATGAAAATGCCATCCGGGTGGGCAGACTGTTGTTTGTTAACAGCTGCTAGCAGAGTCTTTAATGCTATGCTAGCATTAGCACTCGGTGGTACGTGCACAGCCGTTACCATGACAACCATGTGCTCTCGGGCCAAATAAAACAGACAGCATCTGAGTGTAATAAACTCCAAATCAGGGGAACAGTGTGTTTCAGTCACTGTTGCGTTTGTACACCACCTGTTGTTGGAGAAGATGACCAGTCCTCTTCCTCTGCTTTTCCCCGAGTCACTCGTCCGGTCGGCTACCCCCGGGTGAAGCCAGGTCTCCGTCACAACGACGATGCAGCTATCCCGCACAGTTTTCTGTGTCCCTATGGTGACCGATAGCTCATCAAACTTGTTGTTCAGTGACCTGGCGTTCGTGAGGAAGATGCTGGGTAACGCTGGTCTGTGCAGGTCCTTCTGTAACCTAGCATGGACGCTGGCTCGGCAGCCCCTCTTCCTGCACCATCGCTGGCTAATGCTGTAATTAAAGATGCCCCTTTTGTGTTTTTCTTGTTTTGCAGATTATCTGTAGTACCTCGTTGTTCCACCAGGTGAAGCCTTTTACTGTTTAATGGTGTAGAGACCAGAGGAGGCGTTTACTGGAACTACGGGCAGTTTAAGTTTGCAAGCAGAGAGCATTGTGGGGGCTAAGCTTGCAAGTGGCACCATGACAAAGACATATGGGAAGCTTAGTGACGTCTGGCCACGACAAACCAGGATTGACCAGGACGGAGTTCCTAAATTTCTTCAATATCTTGTGTTTATTGACCAAAACAGCAATCCCAGATCAGGACTAGTGTGCTCAATTTGTGTTATTAATCAACCAGTTTCTGTTTATTTCATATTTGGCCCCCTGCAGTAACATATGACACCCAACAACAGCCTCCTAAATGTTCTACAGTCTTTTCACTGTCAGTAGTTTTGATTGCAGTTTATTATTTTATATCACAATAAGTTACCTGGCAACAGTCTCAAAGGTCAGCCAATCATAAAGACACTAAAAGCAAAACTAAACTCTGTCCTCAATAATCTGTTTAACATTTAACTTATTAACCCTAATGCGCAATCATTTGTTAATCAGAAATCCAGTCAACACTTCCTTTGTAGTTTCCACTCTCATTAGCACTGAAGGCTGCAGACTTTTTTCCCCCACCCTGTGGCTTTTGTTGTGACTTTGTCTTCCACTAAAAAGTATTTTTTAAAAAACCACAACAGAATGTGTGAGGAAACATACTGTGAGTATATTGAAGGTTTTTTAGGTCAACATCATTTACGATCCAGATTTCATCTAGGAGACGCTGATAAGAGCCATAATGGTGTCAATGGTTTACAGACTTATTAAACTCAGAGCAGCAGTCAGTTGATATGAGCGAGACACCGAGCAACAGGTACGTCCACTTCTGAATTTAATTTAGCTATTTTTCATTGTTCATCTCACTTCTATTTAATGTATATATATACATATATATCATCCTTTAGGAGAACACCTCGTCTTAATTTAGACCAGTAAGGAGACCAGTACGTTTATTGTAACGTCTCAGTAGTGAAGTAGTCTCCATGCATCGAACACAAGAAGCAACTGAAGAGTAATTTCTACTGAAGCTTTGAATTTCTTCGCTGTGTGAGGAGCAGCCTGTTAGTTTCACACCAACATGTAGCGTATTCAGAACCTTTACTGTTTTACATGATTGCAGATATGGGTTTTGCATGACACTGTGTTCTTTTGTGGCTAAAATGTTGAACAATGCTGCCAGCGTCATCATTTTTTAGATCAACTCATGAACAGTGTTTACCACAAAAAACCATAATATTGACTGTGTTGACAAAAGCAAAAGTACAGCATTATTTTTAGTGCAGATGTGCTTGAATAGCTACAGAACACTTTATAAGTGAAGTATATCTTAACATGGGAGAACTAGTTGACAGAGAAGATAAGAAAAGCACATTTTCATCTTGAAGTCTGAGCAGGAATTAGTAGATCTTTGACTGGACCACTGATCTCATCTAAACACCAGTTAAAACTGTCTTGTTGTCATGGTTTCCACTGTGTTCATGGTTTCTGTATATTCTCAGAGCTGCAGGATGTTTCATCAGAAGACTGGATTGTTGCTTCAATCTATCATCACTGCTCTGCTCTTCTGTCTTCTCCAGATGCACTGTTGCAGAGGTAACTTCCACACAAGTACTGTTGTTTTTAAAAATCTATTTATTCTTTAGATAGAGACAAACAGGATAAAATCAACATTAAAAGTGAAAAAAGTTATTTGTCAGCTTTGTTTCCCACAAATTACAATCTATACAACTAGACTGTATTTTAGTGATAGAAACCAAAAATATGTTTCTAACGTGTTGATTTCTGATGAAAAGTTGGGACTGACTCACTTATGGAGCCTCAAGTGGACATTTAAGGAACTGCACTTCAATGTTGGTTTTATTTTTCAGCCTCAGAAGTTTGCTGCTTGGTTTATGTGCATTAATGAGGATGAAGGTTGTAGAATGTGGATGAAGATCCAAACTCACCACAGAGAAAACTCTACATGCATTTATGTTTTACTCCAGACCTGGAGGTCGTGTCAGGGTTCAGCTCCTTCTGGTTGTTACTCAGAAACTAATACAAATCTTTTTTTTCCAGGTCAGTCTCAGGTAATCGGTCCATCTCAGCCAATAGTGGCAACACTTGGTGATTCCATCATTTTGCCAAGTTATCTGGAACCTGCATACAACGCTATGAAGGTGACGGTGGAGTGGACCAGACCAGACCTGGACCCCAGATTTATTTTTGTGTCACGTATCGGTCAGGAACTCGAAGAATTGAAAAATCCTGCCTACAAAGGGAGAACATCAATGTTCACTGATGAACTGAAGCACGGAAACATTTCACTGAAACTCTCCAAAGTGAAACAGGCTGACGCAGGGAGATACAGATGCTTCATTCCTGAGCGAGATGAAGACACGTTCATGGAGCTTGTTGTCGGTAAGTAGATCTAGTGGTTAGTGAATGTGTGCATAGTTTTCACACAGCGTTCAAACTCTGACATCAGGTTGTGAATATTTAGACAATAAATGTCTTCTCAGTTGGTTCATATAGTACATGACTGTTTAAGCAGCAAAGATTATGACTAGAAAGCTGAAAATTAGTTTTCACAAGAAATCATTTTGAACAGTAATGTTACCTCATGTATCTGTAAGGAGAGATTCTCACTTATTGATCCAGCAGTTCAGAATGCATTCATTGGTGTAGTTATTAGGGATGGAGCACATTAATAAACTTTGCTCTGAAGACACCAGAGTCAGGCAAAATGTCATTTCTCAGAACTTATTAGAAGTTTTCTCTTGTTTGTTTGGTTTGGGACGACAAAGAAAAGGTGATGTGTGAAGCAGAACTCCTCCTGTAGCTCCATGCACATGATAAGGTTTAATTCTGAGTGTTTCAGATTCAGTGTATCACGGTGCTTTAAGGTTTATCACCAATTTTAGGTCTTTTACTCATTGTTTGTTGTACTCTCGTGTTGGATGGTCAGATTTGACCACACGAAGGAAAAAACACTGACATATGTTAATTTATAAATGTATTTTAGGCTTGCTTCCTCATTACTTACAGGTTTTCATTTGTACAAAAGCTCCAAGTGGTTACAGTCTGTGGTCTCAGGATCTGTTGCTACTGTCTGTTCCTAAGGCTGGAACTGAACGAGGAAAGAAAGCTTTAAATCCGCTGCTCCCTCGACCTGGAACACTTTACAAAAAGACCTGAAACTTTAAGAGCTGGTCTCTTTAAACACTTTTAAAGTGTTGATAAATGATTTGGAGGCAAAACATCCGTCTGTAGATGTTTTGATAGATAATTATTTTGCTAGTTATGTTTCTGGTCTCTGCTGATATGTTGATTTCTCATCTTCATAATGTAATCTCACCGTGTATTATGAGTAATGGTGTCTGTGTTGATGCTGTTGTGAGCTTGTCTGTCTGTCAATTCTGCTGCTGCTGCCTGTCTCTGGCCAGGACACTCTTGAAAAAGGGGTTTTTACTCTCAGTGAGCCTCTTCCTGGTTAAATACAGATTAAATTAAAAAAATTAAAAAAATCATTGTCCACAATGTATTTGAACTTCTAAAAGTAGCAACCAAACGCTGTGTACCAATGCAGGAACTTATGAGGTCTATGAACAGCCTGAACTTTTGTGTGTGTTCCTACCACCCCAGTACAACTAGAAAACCATTTATTCTGGTGGAAAGCTGACGAATGAGATACTTAAAGGACCAAAACCAGTTTAGGAGCCAACAGAGTCTGATGGTCAAATGTTTACAAGTAAAAAACTGATCTGCTGCTTGAAAGTTCAGACTAACGACACTGAATGATTATAAAGAGGCCTGCATGACTTTATTTTGAAGACATTGGATTCTTTACCAGATGTAATTATGGACTCTACATGATTCATTTGGTGACTGACTCCTGTTTTAAATTCTTCTTCAGTTTCAGGTTCTGTTTCTGCACCTGTCATCACTTTAGCAGGAACTGATGGAAAAGGAGGAGTTGTGCTGCAGTGTGAGTCTGCAGGCTGGTATCCAGAACCTGAGCTGTTGTGGCTGGACGGTGAGGGAAAGNATGTGGATGAAGATCCAAAATAACCACAGAGAAAACTCTACATGCATTTATGTTTCACTCCAGACCTGGAGGTCGTGTCAGGGTTCAGCTCCTTCTGGTTGTTCCTCAGAAACTTATACAACTCTTTTCTTTCCAGGTCAGTCTCAGGTAATCGGTCCATCTCAGCCAATAGTGGCAACACTTGGTGATTCCATCATTTTGCCAAGTTATCTGAAACCTGTATACGATGCTACGACGTTGACGGTGGAGTGGGCCAGACCTGACCTGGACCCCAGATTTGTCTACGTGTCACGTGGTAGTCTGGAACTCGAACAACTGAAAAATGCTGCCTACAAAGGGAGAACATCAATGTTCACTGATGAACTGAAGCACGGAAACATTTCACTGAAACTCTCCAAAGTGAAACAGGCTGACGCAGGGAGATACAGATGCTTCATTCCTGAGCTAGAGAAAGACACGTTCATGGATCTTGTTGTCGGTAAGTAGATCTAGTGGTTAGTGAATGTGTGCATAGTTTTCATACAGCGTTCAAACTCTGACATCAGGTTGTGAATGTTTAGACAATAAATGTCTTCTCAGTTGGTTCATATAGTGCATGACTGTTTAAGCAGCAAAGATTATGACCAGTAATGTTACCTCATGTGTGAAAAGGGTTCAAATCAACTTTGCTGCTGATTGAATATCAAGCTGTTTTTATGACTTCATTTTTTAGTCACAGACCATCGATTCTGTCAACCTGAATGCCCACTTCATAGTTATGTTTAACTTTAAACATTGCTGACTTGCTGACATTTAGTTTGTTCTACTGAGTCTATAAAATGTCTTTTTAAGGAGAGATTCTCACTTATTGATCCAGCAGTTCAGAATGCATTCATTGGTGTATTTATTAGGGATGATGGACATGAATAAACTTTGCTCTGAAGACACCAGAGTCAGGCAAAATGTCATTTATTATTCTTGGTCCTAAACAGAATTAGAAGTTTTCTCTTGTTTGTTTGGTTTGGGACGACAAAGAAAAGGTGATGTGTGAAGCAGAGCTCCTCCTGTAGCTCCATGCACATTATAAAGTTCATTCATTGTCCACAATGTGTTTGAACTTTCAGATTTACAACAGCAACCGAAAGCTGTGGACCGATGCAGGAACTTGTGGGGTCTATGAATGGCCTGAACTTTTGTGTGTGTTGCTACCAGTTGAACCAGAAAGCCATTTACTGGATAGAAAAAAAAGCAACAACTCTAGGGAAGGTATTTCTGAACTACACTCACCGGCCACTTTATTAGGTACACCTTGCTAGTGCCGGGTTGGACCCCCTTTTGCCTTCAGGACTGCCTTAATCCTTTGATTCAACAAGGTCCTGGAAACATTCCTCAGAGATGTTGCTCCATACTGACATGATAGCAACACGCCGTTGCTGCAGATTTGTCGGCTGCACATCCATGATGTGAATCTCCCGTTCCACCACATCCCAAAGGTTCTATTGGATTGAGATCTTTTGACTGTGGAGGCTGTTGGAGTCCAGTGAACTCATTGTCATGTTCAAGAAACCAGTCTGAGATGATTCATGCTTAATGACATGGCGCGTTATCCTGCTGGAAGTAGCATCAGAAGATGGGTCCACTGTGGTCATAAAGGGATGGATGTGGTCAGCAACAATACTCAGGCAGGCTGTGGCGCTGACACGATGCTCAATTGGTACTAAGGGGCCCAAAGTGTGCCAAGAAACTATCCCCCCACACCATTACACCACCACCAGCAGCCTGAACCGCTGATACAAGGCAGGATGGATCCATGCTTTCATGTTGTTGACGCCAAATTCTGACCCGACCATCCGAATGTCGCAGCAGAAATGGAGACTCATCAGACCAGGCAACGTTTTTCTAATCTTCTGTTGTCCAGTCTTGGTGAGCCTGTGTGAACTGTAGCCTCAGTTTCCTGTTCTTAGCTGACAGGAGAGGCATCCGGTGTGGTCTACTGCTGCTGTAGCCCATCCGCCTCAAGGTTCAGAGATGCTATTCTGCATACCTCTTGACCGTGTCTACATGCCTAAATGCATTGAGTTGCTGCCATGTGACTGGCTGATTAGAAATTTGCATTAACGACCACTTGGACAGGTGTACCTAATAAAGTGGCCAGAGAGGTACCCTGTAAAGCTACTGATTGGATCTTGTCACCAAACGGTTAAACTTCATCTCTCCAATATCGCCATCAACAATTTAAAATTAACCTCCATTGTTCTGTTTCCTTCATAGAACTGGAGTGAAGTCCAGCAGCTAAGACTTGTTTTGCTGAACTCAGAGTAAACGTTGTGATCAAAGCTGTTGGATCCTACAGCACAATGGAAACAGAAAGTCTGAGAAGGATGATTAAGGAGCTGTTCCTCTAAACATTTGTTCCACTTCATCAACTTCCTGTAGTGGAAAGCTGCCTAATGAGATAATTAAAGGACCAAAACCAGTTTAGGAGTCAACAGAGTCTGATGGTCAAATGTTTACAAGTAAAAAACTGATCTGCTGCTTGAAAGTTCAGACTAACGACACTGAATGATTATAAAGAGGCCTGCATGACTTTATTTTGAAGACGTTGGATTCTTGACCAGATGTAATTATGGACTCTACATGATTCATTTGGTGACTGACTCCTGTTTTAAATGTGTTTCTTCTTTATTTTCAGGTTCTGTTTCTGCACCTGTCACCACTTTAGCAGGGGTTGATGGAAAAGGAGGAGTTGTGCTGCAGTGTGAGTCTGCAGGCTGGTATCCAGAGCCTGAGCTGTTGTGGCTGGACGGTGAGGGAAAGCTCCTCTCTGCTGGACCTCCAGAGACAGTCAGAGGTCCTGATGACCTCTATACTGTCAGCAGCAGAGTGATTGTGGAGAAGAGACACAGCAACACCTTCACCTGCAGAGTCCAGCAGAACAACATCAACCAGACCAGAGAGACAATGATTCATGTTCCAGGTAGTTTGTGTTCAACTGGACACAATCCACGGTTCAGTTTATAATAAATGACACATTATTCCATGTTTTATCATTTCAGATGACGTCTTTACGGTCCAGTCCATTTACATCTTGACCACCATCGGTTTGGCTGTTGGTCTGGTTGTTTCTATCGTCCTGTTGGTTCTAGCAGTTGTTCTTTTTGTTCGCAGAAGAAGACAAAACAGTGAGTCACACATTATTATATAATTCTTGACCTTTACAACATATTTCATTGTATTAGACACAATGTTGTTAAAAAGTATTTGATCCCTTCTCAAATTCTGTTTTTTTTTTTTTTTTTTAAATTGCCCCTTAAATGTTTAAGACCATAACACAAATTTAAATATTAGTAACAAAATAATTCATTATCCATTCCATTATCTACACACTGCTTAATCCTCACGAGGGTCGCGGGGGGGCTGGAGTCTATCCCAGCTGACTCAGGGTGAAGGCAGGTTCACCTGGACAGGTAACCAGTCTATCACAGGGCTACACTTAGAGACAGACAACCAAGCACACTCACATTCACACCTACGGACAATTTAGAATCACCAATTAACCTCAGCATGTTTCTGGACTGTGGGGGGAAGCCGGAGAACCCGGAGAGAACCCACGCTGCACGGCGAGAACATGGAGACTCCACGCAGGAAGATATCCGGTGCCCCCACCGGGGCGCGAACCGGCGACCTTCTTGCTGCGAGGCAACAGTGCTAACCACAGAGCCACCTTGCAGCCCCAAAATAATTCAATATTTGCAATTTTAAATGAGATACAAAATGCTCATCTTGTGTAAAAACTACAATTCCCTGTCGCAGTGTTATGTAGTAGGTAAGGCCGGAAAGTCCAATACTGACTCTGTATTTCAGACATATTGTACAGTAGAACTGTCAATTACTTACTAATTACATCATCTGTGGTGAGAAAAAGTAAATATGTGAGTTTGATTAAGATATTCTAGCCATAGCATTTTGTAAATTACAGCTTCCGCAGGACGTGTCAGATTCAATCACTGCATGTTTTCAGAGAAGCAGGACAAAATGTGTTAAAGCTGAAGTCCAATGAACGAAAAGGTTAAAATGTACAAATACATCATTTTGTACGCTGTTCCAAAACACCAGAACAGGTTCCTCCTCCACGTTCTCATGTCGTCAATTACCAACGTTTAGGGAGATCCAGAACATTCAATGAGAGCAACTTGGAAGTCAATTAATGAGGAGTAGGGGGACCCAACGTGTGAATATGTGACGCAGAGGGACCCTGACCAAGCCTCCATATGTGACGAGTAAGGAGTGAGAACATAATGTTCAGGTTCTCTATTCAGACATGTGCTTTTATTACCTGACAGTTTTGGCGAAAACTCTCGCCTTCTTAAGAGGTGACACTGACAGCGAGTGACGTGTCAGCCGGCAGATTTTGACAGCCGGCACCTGCGGCACGCCCAGCAGAGCTGCCAGATCCGCCGGGCAAGTCACCGTCACCCGCTGTCAGTGTCATCTCTGAAGAAGGCGAGAGTTTTCGCCGAAACTGTCAGGTAATAAAAGCACACTCTACATGTCTGAATAGAGAACCTGAACATTATATTATCAGTAAGAAGACATGATGAACATTTTTGAACTATTACAAGGAGTGAGAACGTGTTGCCAGAACTGCTCAATCAAGAAATCACTTCAATAGAACCTGTCTGACAAAATGAAGTCGGCCAAAAGATCTCAAAAAGGGAAAGGGTCACAAAGCCATTTCAAAAGCTTTAGGACTCCAGCAAACCATCCTGAGAGCCATCATCCACACATGGAGAACACATGGAACAGTGGTGGACCTTCCCAGGAGGCCGGCCGACCAGAATGACCCCAAGAGCACAGCGACGACTCATCCAGGAGGTCACAGAGGAACCAGGACAACATCTAAAGACTTGCAGACCTCCCGGGC